CCCATATTTTAATTCCAGAACATCTTCTTATAAATCATAAAAACTTACTTTTCTGACAATATAGATTTCTTTCCTAAACCAATAGCCCCTAACAGGCCCACAGATGCCCTGTCTTCACCAAAACCTTGAATCTTGTGGATAAGTTTCTGAAGAAGGGTAACGCAGGTAGCAGGATCCCGCCCATAATCTATCTGGCGTAATATAAGCTCTAGAGCTTTATGCCACCATAGCAACAACTTACTCTCGTTATCAACGCTGTAAATAAAAATAGTGGACAAATATATTCGGAAAATCAATAAAATGATTTTTCCTATGTTGAAGTTTTTCAATATATGACCTTAACTTTTGCTACTACATGTAGTTCTGTTGAAAAACTGCTCTAAAAATTGTCTGAGATAGATAGATTACTATAATTCATTTCTTGTTCAAAAGAAAGAGCAAATTCAATGAACCGATATCTTCCATTGAATGATTCAAATCACTATTCATTTTAAAAGTCTTAGTATTATGTACCTCAATATCAAATCTATAGGCCTATCCCTCCATCTTTGATTGGGGGTAAACTCAAATGAAATGCAAAAATTAACCATTGCTGAAACAAATTGATTGTTCAACAAAATATTTCCAATTTATTCCTGAAGATTCACTAGAGTGTTATGTTTTATCCTGATTACATGTACACTATATCTTACCATGGTTTAGCACGTTCTATCCAGTCAAGTATCAGTTCAATCACCCCTTGTTCCTCTGTCAGGGACTGACACAGGGTATCTTCTGTATAACATAACAGTACAAGAGAAGGTAGGAAGATTCCTGTAGGCATGTCTGGAAAAATTCTGTAACATTTAACTCTGGTATCTGTACAGCAGCCAACACACTGTTCCAAGCATCACCTGACTGATGGATATGACCATCTGAAAAATAACAACAACAATTTATATATGACCTCAAGAAATCAGTATTTTACAGTTGTTCCTATGAACTGAGCATGGAGATGAAGAAATATAGTTATCATAGAGATGAAGAAACATATCAGTTTGAAGAGATGATATAGTTATTTATGCAGAAATTGGCTACAAATATGTTGTCTAACAAACTAATAAAAGAAATGTTGAATCAAACTAATTCTTGTTTATTCTGAGTAGGCTTGAAAAAATCATTTCAATCTTCAATTGTATACATCCTATACAGATCTTCACATTGTAAACTTTAGTCTGACAAACACCATCTGACATGAACTTACCATTCACAAATGACAAGTGTATACATTTTTCAACAATCTGGACCATGTATGTTAATGAGGCAAGGTTTCTAGAGGCAGCATGTATACATGGAGACAGTAGGATAGTTTTTGGAGACTCCTGTAACCACTGTATGATTGTTGTCAGGATAATCTCTGATCCCTGGTGTTCTGGATTACTGTTGTTGAGAAGACTGAGAACTTCCTTCATCATATCTGTACTCTCTTCTCTTCTAGAGTGAGTGTCTGGTACTGTAAAATATATCAGTATAGAGTGAGTGTCTGGTAATGTAAAATATATCAGTATAGAGTGAGTGTCTGGTACTGTAAAATATATCAGTATAGAGTAGTGAGTGTCTGGTACTGTAAAATATATCAGTATAGAGTAGTGAGTGTCTTGTACTGTAAAATATATCAGTATAGAGTGAGTGTCTCGTACTGTAAAATATATCAGTATAGAGTGAGTGTCTCGTACTGTAAAATATATCAGTATAGAGTGAGTGTCTCGTACTGTAAAATATATCAGTATAGAGTGAGTGTCTCGTACTGTAAAATATATCAGTATATAGAGAGTGTCTTGTACTGTAAAATATATCAGTATAGAGTGAGTGTCTGGTACTGTAAAATATATCAGTATAGAGTGAGTGTGTCTGGTACTGAAAATATATCCGATTAGAGTGAGTGTCTTGTACTGTAAAATATATCAGTATAGAGTGTCTTGTACTGTAAAATATTAGTATAGAGTGAGTGTTTTGTACTGTAAAATATATCAGTACAGAGTAAGTGTCTGGTACTGTAAAATATATCAGTAAACAGTGAGTGTTTGAGAGTAACTGTCTGGTACTGTAAAATATATCAGTATAGAGTGAGTGTCTGGTAATGTAAAATATATCAGTACAGAGTAAGTGTCTGGTACTGTAAAATATATCAGTACAGAGTAAGTGTCTGGTACTGTAAAATATATCAGTATAGTGAGTGTCTTGTACTGTAAAATATATCAGATATATCAATACAGTGTCTTGTACAGAAAAAAAAATCAGTATAGAGTGAGTGTCTGGTACTATTTAATATATCAGTATAGAGTGAACATCATATACTGTAAAATATATCAGTATAGAGTGAACATCATGTACTGTTAAATATATTAGTTGTACTGTAAAATATATCAGTATAGAGTGAGTGTGTCTTCTACTGAAAAATATATCAGTATAGAGGGAGTGTCTTGTACTGTAAAATATATCAGTATAGAGTGAGTGTCTGGTACTATACAATATATCAGTATAGTGTCTTGTACTGTAAAATATATCAGCATAGAGTGAGTGTGTCTTGTACTGTAAAATATATCAGTTTAAAGTGAGTGTCTTGTTCTGTAAAAATATATCAGTTTAAAGTGAGTGTCTTGTTCTGTAAAATATATCAGTATAGTGTGAGTGTCTGGTACTGTAAAATATACCAGTATAGAGTGAGTGTCTTGTACTGTTAAATATATCAGTATAGAGTGAGTGTCTGTTACAGTAAAATATATCAGTATATAATAAGTGTCTTGTACTGTAAAATATATCAGTATAGAGTGAATGTCTTGTACTGTAAAATATATCAGTACAGAGGATGTCTTGTACTGTAAAATATATCAGTTAAGAGTGTCTTGTACTGTAAAATATATCAGTTGTACTGTAAAATACATCATTACAGAATGAGCATCTTGTACTGTAAAATATATCAGTAAAGAGTGAGCATCTTGTACTGTAAAATATATCAGTAAAGAATGAGTATCTGGTACTGTAAAATATAACAGTATAGAGTGAGTATTTCAGGATAAAACATAAGACTTGAGTGAATCTTCAGAAAGACATTAGAAAGAGTTTTGTTGATCAATCAATTTTTTTCAGCAATGGTTAATTTTTGCATTTCATCAGATTTTTTTTTACCGCCAATCAAAGATGGATAGTTAGGATAGTTATATATTTTATGTTGGGGTACATAATGCTTAGATGTTTAAAAATTTGAATCATTTGAGGGAAGATGTCAGTTCAATGAATTTCTCTTTCTGTTTGAACAAGTGAACTTTGGTATACTGTCTATCTCAGACAATTGATTTATATTTCCATCACAACTCTATTGTGGAACACATTTTATTGTTACCTGAAATGAACTTGTCAATCTTTCAATGTTGACTAAATCATTTATTATTTGTAGGGAAAGTTTCAGAAAAAGTACTGTAAATATATCAGAATAGAGTGAGTGTCTTGTACTGTAAAATATATCAGTATAGAGTGTCTTGTACTGTAAAATATATCAGTATAGAGTGTCTTGTATTGTAAAATATATCAGTATAGAGTGAGTGTTTTGTACTGTAAAATATATCAGTACAGAGTAAGTGTCTGGTACTGTAAAATATATCAGTACAGAGTAACTGTCTGGTACTGTAAAATATATCAGTATAGTGTGAGTGTTTTGTACTGTAAAATATATCAGTACAGAGTAAGTGTCTGGTACTGTAAAATATATCAGTATAGTGAGTATCTTGTACTGTAAAATATATCAGATATATCAATACAGTGTCTTGTACAGAAAAAAGATCAGTATAGAGTGAGTGTCTGGTACTATTTAATATATCAGTATAGAGTGAACATCATGTACTGTAAAATATATCAGTATAGACTGAACATCATGTACTGTTAAATATATTAGTTGTACTGTAAAATATATCAGTATAGAGTGAGTGTGTCTTGTACTGTAAAATATATCAGTATAGAGGGAGTGTCTTGTACTGTAAAATATATCAGTATAGAGTGAGTGTCTGGTACTATACAATATATCAGTATAATGTCTTGTACTGTAAAATATATCAGTTTAGAATGAGTGTCTTGTACTGTAAAATATATCAGTTTAGAGTGAGTGTCTTGTACTGTAAAATATATCAGTATAGTGTGAGTGTCTGGTACTGTAAAATATACCAGTATAGAGTGAGTGTCTTGTACTGTTAAATATATCAGTATAGAGTGAGTGTCTGTTACAGTAAAATATATCAGTATATAATAAGGGTCTTGTACTGTAAAATATATCAGTATAGAGTGAATGTCTTGTACTGTAAAATATGTCAGTACAGAGGATGTCTTGTACTGTAAAATATATCAGTAAAGAGTGTCTTGTACTGTAAAATATATCAGTTATACTGTAAAATACATCAGTACAGAATGAGCATCTTGTACTGTAAATTTATCAGTAAAGAGTGAGCATCTTGTACTGTAAAATATATCAGTAAAGAATGAGTATCTGGTACTGTAAAATATAACAGTATAGAGTGAGTATCTGGTACTGAAAAAAAAAAATATCAGTACAGAGTGAGCATCTTGTTCTGTAAAATATATCAGTTGTACTGTAAAATATATCAGTATTGAGTGAGTTTCTCTTGTACTGTTAAATATATCAATACAGAGTGAGCGTATTATATATAGAGGATATTGAATGAGTGTAGATACAATACTTAATTTATTCAACCTGTTGAATAAAATCATATTATGTGAGCCTCTAGCAATAAATCAACCAGTTTAATACATTTAGTATTGAATCTACACAAATATAATATTCTTATTATCACATATCTAACATAAGAACAGATTACAGTTAAAGAAGTGTCATTTTCATTGACGCGCCTACAGTGTGATGAAAAAGAAAGTCTTATTGACCTTGACTTTTACATAGAAGGAGCCCACTTTAAGTAATTTACATTTACCATTCTAAATCATCTATCAATCTGGACAAAAGCATATAAGGGACGATCTGAAAATATGTACTGACTGAATAGCACACAGTACAGACCATGATCAGATGGCACAGATGTCTGTATTGGTAGCATGGGTATACAGCAGACTACAGACTAAATGACTAAGATATAAATCTAGCATGGGTATACAGCAGGCTACAGACTAAATGACTAAGATATAAATCTAGCATGGGTATACAGCAGGCTACAGACTAAATGACTAAGATATAAATCTAGCATGGGTATATACAGCAGACTACAGACTAAATGACTAAGATATAAATCTAGCATGGGTATACAGCAGACTACAGACTAAATGACTAAGATATAAATCTAGCATGGGTATACAGCAGGCTACAGACTAAATGACTAAGATATAAATCTAGAATGGGTATACAGCAGGCTACAGACTAAATGACTAAGATATAAATCTAGCATGGGTATACAGCAGACTACAGACTAAATGACTAAGATATAAATCTAGCATGGGTATACAGCAGGCTACAGACTAAATGACTAAGATATAAATCTAGCATGGGTATACAGCAGACTACAGACTAAATGACTAAGATATAAATCTAGCATGGTATACAGCAGGCTACAGACTAAATGACTAAGATATAAATCTAGCATGGGTATACAGCAGACTACAGACTAAATGACTAAGATATAAATCTAGCATGGGTATACAGCAGGCTACAGACTAAATGACTAAGATATAAATCTAGAATTGGTATACAGCAGGCTACAGACTAAATGACTAAGATATAAATCTAGCATGGGTATACAGCAGGCTACAGACTAAATGACTAAGATATAAATCTAGCATGGGTATACAGCAGGCTACAGACTAAATGACTAAGATATAAATCTAGCATGGGTATACAGCAGGCTACAGACTAAATGACTAAGATATAAATCTAGCATGGGTATACAGCAGGCTACAGACTAAATGACTAAGATATAAATCTAGCATGGGTATACAGCAGGCTACAGACTAAATGACTAAGATATAAATCTAGAATGGGTATACAGCAGGCTACAGACTAAATGACTAAGATATAAATCTAGCATGGGTATACAGCAGACTACAGACTAAATGACTAAGATATAAATCTAGCATGGGTATACAGCAGGCTACAGACTAAATGACTCAGATATAAATCTAGCATGGGTATACAGCAGGCTACAGACTAAATGACTAAGATATAAATCTAGCATGGGTATACAGCAGGCTACAGACTAAATGACTAAGATATAAATCTAGCATGGGTATACAGCAAACTACAGACTAAATGACTAAGATATAAATCTAGCATGGGTATACAGCAGGCTACAGACTAAATGACTAAGATATAAATCTAGCATGGGTATACAGCAGGCTACAGACTAAATGACTAAGATATAAATCTAGCATGGGTATACAGCAGGCTACAGACTAAATGACTAAGATATAAATCTAGCATGGGTATACAGCAGGCTACAGACTAAATGACTAAGATATAAATCTAGCATGGGTATACAGCAGGCTACAGACTAAATGACTAAGATATAGATCAATCAATGATGGGGCTCTGAGAAACTGTAAGCTAGTGTGACAGGGTACACAAGGAAAACAAAACAGCTTCTAAATTGTAATTTAAAATTTTATCAAGGTATACATGTAAAGACTGGCCTACCAGCAGACTCGACTGTCTCTGTCTCGGTGAGCAGATTTATGATGAAAGTAGAGAGTTGGGTTGTATCCCAGTCTGTGAGATATGTACATTGACATATAAGAGAGGAGACACAGTGGAGGTAGGTCTGACGTCTGATTCTCCAAGCCTCTGTCAACATCATAGATATTTCTGTTGTAAAACCTGATGCTGACTCCAATAATCTGTAAAATATAGCAATCAGTTGTCAATAAAAGTGATAATAATTTGAAAGAAGAAAGCTATATGATAATATGTGGTGACCCTTCAAATAAAACCAAATTATGGCAAGTAACATTTTTTGTTTATTTATTTTTTTTTTTGTAGATCTCAAATCTGAACAAAACAATTTTTGTATCTGCTCAAAAGTTATAAAATTGCAATTTTAAGGCTAAATGACATCAAATAATTTCAAATGTGAAAAACAAAATAAAATATTAAACATGAACAAACCTCAAGCCTAAAGCTTCAGGAGCAGTTCTACCATGCAGCAGACATTTTGGGTCACATGACTGCAGGAACCAGGAACCAGCATTCTTATAGTCGTCTGCTGATAAATGTTTCCATTTAAAAGACTGGGCCTGTAGTAACAACTGCTGAATGTCCGGATTCTGTAATATTACATGGCAACATTTTGAATATATTTCATTTGTAATGATTATTTGAAATAAACTATGATAAATAAAAAGTTTCATTCCTTAGCATTGCATTAATGTAAACATAATGATAATTATACAACATAATGATAATCAATCAAGACACAGTCACCGTAAACAGACAAATGCCTCCCAAACTGGGTCCCAGTCCCGTAAAGGTGCCATGACCTTTGACTTACAATGAAGGCATGGTTACTATAAAAAGACTTATATTCTCAGTATCCAAGTAGTTGAAAGTGTCCATGGATAAACAATAGATATGACCACATTCGATAATCAATGCAATATTTTGACAAAAAAGTGTAATTTTAAAACTAACTAACAGCATGTTGCTGGCCTGTCATTCAGTGACCTTCACAACCAGGCTACTGCTTGAGTTGATTGTGTAAAGTTATATACTAAACAGTCTGTAGGGTGATTAGAAATACAACTTCATGCAATCAACAATAGCATATTCATGTCATTTTATAATATACAAAATGTACCTTCAGTAAAATATAAAGTATTGACTATTGAATATGGAAGCAAATTTTTGTATTTCTTCAGTTAAAAATGACTGTATTTTCACCAGAAAACTTTTATATGTATATAATAAAAATAAAAAAAATGTATATCTCCATGTTTGAATAAGCTTCACTAGAATACTATATTTATACTGTTCCCTTAAGTGGCGGCATGGTTGGGTGGTTAATGCATTAGACTAGTAATCTAATGATTGCATGGGTTCAAATAGTTGTTTCCTTGAGCAAGAAACTTTACACTCATTGCTCAGTACTGGTTGGTTCCTGGAACGGATTTGAAAGTGTGTCTATAAGCTTATAGCTTATTACACCATCAAACTAAAATAAATTCTGTATAAACTGAACAGTTACCTCAACGTGCTTGTTCTCAGAGAAAGCCTGTATAAGCAGTATAAACAGACAACCCTCGTATCGGACCTGATGATTGTGATCAAAGTAAGACTCATACCACTCAGATACTTGTGACCAGTTTATCATAGAAACAATGTCTGCTACCAGGTTAAATCCAAGACTACATCCTTTCTCTTTTAACTATAAAAACATGTAATATAAACATGATCATATAAGTATACAGCATTTTATAATATCTAATATGAAGACTGAAGAAATAAACAAACAAGAGGGCCATGATGGCCCTGGATCGCTCACCTGACACAACCGCATCCAAGCAATGTCTTAAACAAGCATCATGACCAAGTTTGATGACAACTGAGTCAAACATGTGACCTCTAGTGTGTTATAAAGTTTTTTCCATATTTGGGCAATGTGACCTAATTTTTTACCGGACACGACCCATATTCAAACTTGACCTAGAAATCATCAAAACAACCTTCCTGACCAATTTTCAGGAAATTTGGATCAAAACTGCAGCCACTAGAGTGTTAAAAAGATTTTTCTATTTTTAGCTCCTGTGACCTAGTTTTTGACAGGACATGACCAATCTTAGCACTTGACCCAGAAAACATCAAAACAACATTCTTCAAATTTCCAGAATATTTGAATCAAAACTGCAGCCACTAGAGTGTAAACAAGCTTTTTCTATTTTTAGCTCCTGTGACCTAGTTTTTGACCAGAGATGACCCATCTTCGAACTTGACCTAGAAATCATCAAAACAACCTTCCTGACAAATTTCCAGAATATTTGGATGAAAACTGCAGCCCCTAATGTGTTAACAAGCTTTTCTATTTTTAGCTCCTGTGACCTAGTTTTTGACCGGAGATGACCCATCTTCCAACTTGACTTAGATATCATCAAAACAACCTTCTTGAAAAATTTCCAGAATATTTAGATGAAAACTGCAGCCATTAGAGTGTTAACAAGCTTTTTCTATTTTTAGCTCCTGTGACCTAGTTTTTGACCTGAGATGACCCATCTTCAAATTTGACCTAGAAATCATCAAAACAACCTTTCTGACAAATTTCCAGAATGTTTGGATGAAAACTGCAACCATTAGAGTGTTAACAAGCTTTTTCTATTATTAGCTCCTGTGACCTAGTTTTTGACCAGACATGACCCATCTTCGAACTTGACCTAGAAATCATTAAAACAACCTTCCTTACAAATTTCCAGAATATTTTAATCAAAACTACAGCCACTAGAGTGTTAACAAGCTTCTTATATTTTTAGCTCCTGTGACCTAGTTTTTGACCGGAGATAACCCATCTTCGAACTTGACCTAGAAATCATCAAAACAACCTTCCTGACAAATTTCCAGAATATTTGGATGAAAACTGCAGCCACTACAGTGTTAACAAGCTTTTTCTATTTTTAGCTCCTGTGACCTAGTTTTTGACCGGAGATGACCCATCTTAAAACTTGATCTAGAAATCATTTAAACAACTTTCCTGACAAATTTCCAGAATATTTGGATGAAAACTGCAGCCACTAGAGTGTTAACAAGCTTTTTCTATTTTTAGCTCCTGTGACCTAGTTTTTTGACCGGAGATGACCCATCTTCGAACTTGACCTAGATATCATGGAAACAACCTTCCTGACAAATTTCCAGAATATTTGGATGAAAACTGCAGCCACTAGAGTGTTAACAAGCTTTTTCTATTTTTAACTCCTGTGACCTAGTTTTTGACCAGAGATGACCCATCTTCGAACTTGACCTAGATATCATTAAAACAACCTTCCTGACAAATTTCCAGAATATTTGGATGAAAACTGCAGCCTCTAGAGTGTTAACAAACTTTTTCTATTTTTAGCTCCTGTGACCTAGTTTTTGACCTGAGATAACCCATCTTCGAACTCAATCTGTATTTCATTTAGACAAACATTCTGACAAAGTTTGATGATGATCCAATCAAAACTGTGACTGCTAGGCTGTTAACAACCCAATTGTTAGAGTGTTAACAAGCTTTTTCTATTTTTAGCTCCTGTGACCTAGTTTTTGACCGGAGATGACCCATCTTCGAACTTGACCTAGATATCATTTAAACAACCTTCCTGACAAATTTCCAGAATATTTGGATGAAAACTGCAGCCTCTAGAGTGTTAACAAGCTTTTTCTATTTTTAGCTCCTGTGACCTAGTTTTTGACCCGAGATAACCCATCTTCGAACTCGATCTGTATTTCATTGAGACAAACATTCTGACAAAGTTTGATGATGATCCAATCAAAACTGTGACTGCTAGACTGTTAACAACCCAATTGTTGACGACGCACGACGACGGACATAGCCCCATCACTATACCTCACCTTGATCACTTCGTGGTCAGGTGAGCTAAAAATGATTGGACAGCATGAGGGATCCAATACATGTTTATGACAGAGATTGTTTATATATACGTACACTGATAATTTAAATACTTTATTATTTTAAACTTACATGATTAAAACAATAGTCACTCTATAAAATCCAATTCAAAGAACATGATTATGATAATAAATAGACTTGATATTGCAAGATTTTGCAATTAACAAACATACTGCAGCCATGGTTTCCATAACATATATGTTAGGTAGTAACTGTTTCCATGGTAACTTGACAAACTCCATGTTGAACACAGACACAATATCTGCTGTAACATCATCTTTACACAAGACACTGGCAAAATGTAGCCACAATAACGACAGGAAGTCACTGTAAAATCTACCCCGAATATCTGAAACACACAAGAGATAGAGAAAACATAACTCTTCAGATTTTAAAGTTTTTAACTAATGCTTTTCAATGAAATACAAATGTACTTAAATAAATTATTGTGATATAAGTTATATTACACTGTTTGAAACAGAGAAAAATATAGAAATAAGGATCCCATTTAATTCAATGAAACTTTGAAAGGCATTAAGTAAACAATAATGTGCAACAAAAATTTAATTATAATTTCATTATAAATTAAGAAGTATTACATTCAAATAAGTACTAGAAAATTAACAGCCTTATCATCTTAAAAGTTAAACAGATTATGGACATAGTTCTCCAATTACCTTCTGTTTTATAGTGAGCATATTTAACAACATCCACTAAAGCTTTGACCATGTGAGAGGCTGATTCCCTGTCTGCAGCGATCCATGGTTGACTAACAACCTTACTAGAGATCACAGTCTGTATCCATGGTGCAAAACTTTCCTGTATACATCCCCAAATCACCTCAATACCTGAATATTTAATGCAATCATTTTTTAGACAAGAATTCAAAGATTTTTCGTAAGAAAAAATGCTTGTCATAAAACAAGTTAATGTTCTAATTGTTCTTCAGCCTAGTAGAGGTTCTTTGATATTCAGTCTTGTATAAGAAAATACTTTTATGTAAACATGATACATATGTTAACTAGAACTGTGTCCAAAGGACACGGATGCCCCCACTGACAACATTTATATGGTATATAGTGAAAAAATCAACAAAGGGCCATAATTCTGTTAAATTTGGTCGCAGCAAAAATTCCTTCCTTTACTAATGCTAAACATGCATAAAAGGGGAGACGCTCAAAATCCCCTTGATCATAATCCCCTTGGTTGATAAACGACATAGTGATCGAAATCCCCTCAACAGAAATGACAGGGTTATCATAATCCCCTTGGCAAAAATAAAGGGGTGGTCATAATCCCCTCAGTGGGTAGTCAAAATCCCCTCAAATAATGTGAAATGGTTGGGAAATTTCTTTTCTTATTTTTCTTTTTAGTTCAATGAATTTAAGAACCAACTGCTTCAAGAATTGCTGAAAAAAAAGAGAAAAGCATACAAACAATTAAAAGGTGTATGTTTGTCACAGCCAGTTAATAATGACACCCTTTATTGATGTTATTATTGCTGAGAAAATTGTAAAATACAAACAAATAAATGATAGTTGATTATAATTAATCATTGCAATTATAGTTATATGTAACAAACAATCAATTAATCTTTGCAATGATAAACACCTTTAAAGGCAAATTTGTTGCACACTAGCTTTAGATCTTTCCAGATAATAACTTAAAATGAGGCTATTAATTGCAGTTTGCTATCTAAAATTACTTCATCTTTGTTTTACTTAACTGCAAACTGTTATTGCTAAAGTATACTCCATACTCTTTCCTCTACTCAATGTAACTGCTGTTTGCAACATTTCTTTATGTAACACAATAGTTTAGCTGGAGTGACAAAAGATCAAAGGAAAAAGAATTTTGAGTAAAGGGGGTTGTTTTTCACAAGTTGAGGGGATTTTGACCACCCCATCATTTTTGCCAAGGGGATTTTGACTATCCATCAAGGGGATTATGAACACCCGGTCATTTCTGTTGAGGGGATTTCGATCACTATGTCATTTTTCAACCAAGGGGATTATGATCAAGGGGATTTTGATATACACTCGCATAAAAGATCCTCTGAATACCGGACAGCAATTTAAAGTGTCAACTTTCTGTGTACTTTAATGTAGGATCTTAACACAATCTCAACAGGTGACATGTTCAAATACCAGGTAATGGTCATCTCCTTTTATCTATGCAGGTGTGAAAACACTTGTCAGTGTATGTTAATGTCTTATTGTCAATTAAATTATAATAGCTCTTTCATCAATCATCATATTTGTGTCTTTCCTACTATAAATATGATTTTTCAAAAATGATTTTAATGTGTTATGTTTTTTTTTTAATATAAAATAACTAAAAGAGTTGGGAATCTTTTTTTTAAATGATCTACACATTAAGGTTGTTCATCCAAGGAAGTTTAAGCAAAATCTGCCATCCGGTTTAAGAGGAGTTGCGTTCACAAAATTTCTACATAGTATATAGTGAAAAAATCAACAAAGGGCCATAATTCTGTTAAAATTGGTCCCAGCGAAAATTCCTTCCTTTACTACCATCTACACATTAAGGTTGTTCATCCCTGGAAGTTTAAGCAAAATCTGCCATCTGGTTTAAGAGGAGTTGCGTTCACAAAATTTCTACATAGTATATAGTGAAAAAATCAACAAAGGGCCATAATTCTGTTAAATTTGGTCGCAGCAAAAATTCCTCCCTTTACTACCATCTACACATCAAGGTTGTTCATCCCTGGAAGTTTAAGCAAAATCTGCCATCCGGTTTAAGAGGAGTTGCATTCACAAAATTTCTACATAGTATATAGTGAAAAAATCAACAAAGGGCCATAATTCTGTTAAATTTGGTCGCAGCAAAAATTCCTTCCTTTACTACAATCTACACATTAAGGTTGTTCATCCCTGGAAGTTTAAGCAAAATCTGCCATCCGGTTTAAGAGGAGTTGCGTTCACAAGATTTCTGGACGTACGGACAGACGTACGGACGGATGGACAGACGGACGGACACTTGGACGGACAAGTGCAACGCTATATGCTCCCACTCTGTGGGGGCATAATGATTGAACAAAGTCATTGTTCAAACACATCATAATTATCAATGAATGTATAAAACGTCTGAAAACCGGAATCCTCTGAATACCGGACTTTTTGTCAAGTCCGGACAGGGTCCGGTTTTCAGAGTTTTTACTGTAGTATATAGTGAAAAAATCAACAAAGGGCCATAATTCTGTTAAATTTGGTCGCAGCAAAATTCCTTCCTTTACTACCATCCACACATTAAGGTTGTTCATCCCTGGAAGTTTAAGCAAAATCTGCCATCCGGTTTAAGAGGAGTTGCGTTCACAAAATTTCTATATGGTATATAGTGAAAAAATCAACAAAGGGCCATAATTCTGTTAAATTTGGTCGCAGCAAAAATTCCTTCCTTTACTACCATCTACACATTAAGGTTGTTCATCCCTGGAAGTTTAAGCAAAATCTGCCATCCAGTTTAAGAGGAGTTGCGTTCACAAGATTTCGGGACGTACGGACAGACGGACGGACAGACGTACAGACGGACGGACAGACGGACGGACAAGTGCAACGCTATATGCTTCCACTCTGTGGGGGCATAAAAAGCTTGATAAAGTACCATAAATTAAAATATTCCTTGACAGTCCATAAAATGTACACCCTTTTTTACACAGACTTGACTGTTTTTAATTGTTGTATTTCCAAAAATGCTATAAATTTCAAAATTGTTACCTCAGGCAACAGAAAATGTGGTGTTACTACAGTACTTATTTGATATGGAATTAAATTCTTATCCTTAAAACAGAAAATAATACAATAAGCTATAGAAAAGTTTCTGTATATCAACCAAAACAGTTTGTTCAACCTACGAGGGTCATGTTAACCTGTCTCGTATATAGAAAATCACTTATAAATAGGCTTATTACCTACTATACAATCAAGCTTATGTCATGAGCCATGTTTTGTATATGGAACAGTCTATTCAAAGTTTAAGGGAATTCAATGATAAAATACAACAAGAGGGCCATGATGGCCCTGAGGTCGCTCACCTGTATATAGGCCCCCCAACGTTGCAGGGCCAATTTAACCCAAGGGCTTTTATTTGCACAAACTTGGTAGACACCTATTAGAACATGTTTGATGCTAAATATCTTAGCCATAGCTCTTTGAGTTCTTTAAAAGAAGATTTTTTAAGTTTTTACTATATGCATATAGGGAAAATCAATGACCCCCTGGGGTGGGGCCAATTTTAACCCCAGGGCTTTTATTTGAACAAACTTGGTAGACACTCACTAGAAGATGTTTCATGCCAAATATCTAAGCTCTAGCTCTTATGGTTTTTTTTTAAAGAAGATTTTTTAAGTTTTTACTACATTTTTGTATATGCATATAGGGAAAATCAATGACCCCCCGGGGCCGGGCTAATTTTGACCCCATGGCTTTTATTTGAACAAACTTGGTAGACACTTATTAGAACATGTTTCATGCTAAAAATCTTAGCTCTAGCTCTTTTGGTTCTTTAAAAGAAGATTTTTTAAGTTTTTACTACATTTTTGTATATGCATATAGGGAAAATCAATGACCCCCCGGGGCCGGGCTAATTTTGACCCCATGGCTTTTATTTGAACAAACTTGGTAGACACTTATTAGAACATGTTTCATGCTAAAAATCTTAGCTCTAGCTCTTTTGGTTCTTTAAAAGAAGATTTTTAAGTTTTTACTATATGCATATTGGGAAAATCAATGACCCCCCGGGGCAGGGCCAATTTTGACCCCAAGGCTTTCATTTGAAGAAACTTGGTAGACACCCATTAGAACATGTTTCATGCTAAATATCTTAGCTCTAGCTCTTTTGGTTCTTTAAAAGAAGATTTTTTAAGTTTTTACTATATGCATATAGGGAAAATCAATGACCCCCCCTGGGGCGGGGCCAATTTTGACCCCAGGGCTTTTATTTAAACAAACTTGGTAGACACCTATTAGAACATGTTTGATGCTAAATATCTTAGCCATAGCTCTTTGAGTTCTTTAAAAGTAGATTTTTTAAGTTTTTACTATATGCATATAGGGTAAATCAATGACCCCCCCCGGGGCGGGGCCAATTTTGACCCCAGGGCTTTTATTTGAACAAACTTGGTAGACACCCATTAGAACATGTTTCATGCTAAATATCTTAGCTCTAGCTCTTTTGGTTCTTTAAAAGAAGATTTTTTAAGTTTTTACTATATGTATATAGGGAATATCAATGATCCCCCGGGGCGGGGCCAATTTTGACCCCAGGGCTTTTATTTGAACAAACTTGGTAGACACTCACTAGAAGATGTTTCATGCCAAATATCTAAGCTCTAGCTCTTATGGTTTTTTAAAAGAAGATATTTAAAGTTTTTTCTTTCGGTTGCCATGGCAACCAGAGTTCTGCATGGAATTAAATTCTTTGAACAATTTTTAAAGGTGACCACCAAAGGAACATTCCTGTGAAGTTTGGATGAAATTGGCTTAGTGGTTTATGAGGAGATGTCATTTAAAGTAAAAGTTTACGGACGGACGGACGGACGGATGGACGACGGACGGACGCCGGACGAAAAGCGATCACAAAAGCTCACCCTGTCACTTTGTGACAGGTGAGCTAAAAATTAAGCTACCAACTGTATAAAGCCTGGTCAGACTGTACAAAATGTGTGAACTAGCCAAGCTCTATACTAGTGACAAAGGATTATTATTTTTAGTTTCAGCAACATGTTAATAGATACAGGTAATGTTACCTTCATTTGTTGGAGAATCTGCTAGGTTTGGAAGCATTTTGTCAACAAGACATTTTGAGAGATCTCTGATCAATGCAGCCAGGTATGGTACATACTGTTTCCATTTAGGATATAACCCAAATGATGTAACCTCTTTCTGATTCAACCTGATCTGTGTAAACTCATGACCTAGCCATCCTAATATATTTCTTATCTACAAGAATAACAATTAGTAAAATTTACTACTTTCTTGACTATGCACATATCTTGTTATATAAATGTTACATAATTACGTCACAATCAAAGTTTATTCAGTAAAATATAAAACTGCATAAAGTAAAAGACCTTTCTTGTAATGAAGTTTTTCATTATTATCAATTCATATTGTCAAATAGCATTGTCTTTTCAGCCTTTCCTGCACTCCAGACACCTCTATGTTTCATGAAGATGAATATATATTTTTTTTCACAACACAGTTTGTATTTAATACAAAATAGGTACATGACTAAATAAGGTTAATTATAAACAATTTCAGATTCAACATCTACTAGTAAATAATGCTGTTACCAGACCTAACAAATCAAACAGTTTTAACTCTTTAGTTTATTATTAAACATTGTAAACACCTGGTATATTAAATAATTTGTATTACCTCTTCTATTGACAAGTCTGTAGATAGAGCTTGCACTGTCTGACCTTCAACTTGTATATTTTGGTTGTCACGGAAACAATTGTTATAGAGAACTTTCCAGCAATCAACACAGACACGTTGCATTGATGAACCTATAAAAGTGAAATAACAAAATACAAATTTCTTTAAAACAAGATTGTTCTTCACGCATAAACGTCCGAGTTACAAATAACTATCAAAGTCAATATGAAAGTTTCTCAACTTTTAATATCAAGTCATTTAATGAAACTATTTTACAACAAGTTAATTTTAAGAAAACACAACTGTTGCATGTTCTTGTCAACTGTGTAAGAAGTGATGACATGTGTTTGAAATTTGCTTTTTTTTTCCAAAATTTTTTACACTTTAATCTAAAGGTAACAGGTTGTAATTTTTTTTTTTTTTAAAGTGACAATGTGAAAACTTCCAATAATTTCTGCGAGAACAAACATAATATAATGATAGAACATACCTTGGAGAAGAGCAGCTAGAACTTCATGAAGATAGAGAGGAAACTTGTGTTTCAACAATATTTTCTCATGACTCTGATATATCTATAATATAAAATACTGACATTATAACTTTATATTATATACAATTACATTATATATTGATTTAAAGTGGCCAGATTGAAAAATGATCCAAGAAAAAGTACTTAATAATATCAATAGAACTTGGTTTTGAAAATCTTAGTTGTACAGATCATCAAAGGCACATAAAACAGAAAGCTAGGCAAAAGATAACTAAGAAATATACTAATATAATAATATGTACTGATTTCTAAATTGAAAATCGTATTTATGTGCCATTTTAGCCCAATATGAGTGAAAATCAATGCAACACATTTCAATTTTGGGTCATTTTTCATTGGGAGAATAATTATTCTGGGAAAACGGAGTGATGCACAAAAAATTATTTCCATTACTGTCATGTCAAAAAACCTCAGTGGAGTCCCTTTAACAACTAATTACTATATTAGATCTGTTTAAAGTAAAACAAACACTGATAAGACCATACAGTTTCACTGGAAGGAGAAGAAAAATAAATTTCAAGCACTAACAAGTACTGGGAATAACAAACCACCTTCAACAAGCTAAACAAATAATTTCCTCACATGAAATAACTCAATATCCATTGTAGAGTTCAAACCAACATAGGAATTAGAGAAACTCAGATTCTTTAACAACATGGATATCCTGCATATGTCAATTCTTTACATCTACAACTGCAATAGTCCAGTTAGTGCCAAATGGCCAATTGACAAAATAAACTTACCTTAAATGCCATCGCATATCCATCTTTTGGAATGGTTCCACATTTTATAAATGCCTGACTCAGATATTCTACCAGTTTCTTCACCTCTTGTTTACTTGGATTATACTCCTCTAGCCACTTCCTTAACTCAAACTATACATGAGAAATACAATATAACATCATAAAATATAACATACATATTGAAACATAGCATAAAGTAATATTTGATGAATAAACATTTCTATAACTCAATCTTTGACAGAAGAAAGATTTATGTATGCTGAAGGAGGCTGTTCAGCCGAAACATTGGTATATTAAAGGGAATTATAGAATTTGTAGATGACTACCTATTTTTCACTATTTTGAAGAAAGAAAAGTTTTGTTGTTTTCTTTATGTACCTTAGACAACAGCATTGATAAAGTTGCCAGATCAACATTAGAATCTTGTTCTCCAACTCTCTTCATTGCTCTCTTCTCCTGGCTATCTTTTGGTAAACACCCTACTAGCTTGCCATACATTTTCACAAACAGAGCCGGGTTCAAGTTTGGTTTAAAATGAGGTGCAAGCATTCCACCTAACACAGATCTATCAAGCGCCATCTGTAATACAGCTTCTGTTTGATGCGGATCACTCTGAATAAACTCCTGAAATAAAGGTTCAATTAAAATCTTGAACTATAGAAACATTAATTGTTAATTAAAAAGTAATACTATTTTGTCTCAAAGAATAAGCAACTTTATACTCATTATGTTATGATTCAATGGGGAAATAAAATGGTACCAATAATAGACAAGAGTTTGATTTTAAATAATGATTTAGTTTTAGTTAAAATGAATGCTTGAATTTCTTATTACATCAATAGAGATGAAAGACTGTGGTCATATTTATTTGAAATAGAGGGAAACCACAAAAATTGTAGGGCAAATCAACAGTTCCTCAGGAGAGTATTGCCTGGTTATTAAACTGTCTGCCTATCAAACAAGGATTCATGGGTTTGACCCATACTGGGTTCACAACATGTTTCCATACTGGGTAGATCCAAGAAGTGAACTTGAAAGTGGTTCAAATTAACAACAAGCATCATCACAATCAAGCTTAACTAAAAATGTTTAAGGATATCAACATATAGCTGTAATTTTACCTGTCCTAGGATGTCTATACATGAGGTGAAGAATTGTTTTGTTGGAGGATATTTGAGCAGACTTGGTGTTATAATATCACTCAGATGAAGAAATAGACTACAAGCTATACTGTTTAATGTCTGACTTCTCTTAGTATCTGTACTACTGCGATACATCTTCACCAACATACTGTAATATAACAACACCATATGAGCCGCCCCATGACAAAACCAACATAATGTGTTTGCGACCAGCATGGATCCAGACCAGCCTGCACATTCGCGCTGTCTGATCAGGAGCCATGCTGTTCGCTATCAGTTTCTCTACTTGCAATAGGGTTTGTAAGCAAACAGCATGGCTCCTGATCAGACTGCATGGATGTGCAGGCTGGTATGGATCCATGCTGGTCGCAAACGCATTATGTTGGTTTTGTCATGGCACGGCCCATATATATCTCAAATATTCAATATCAATTTAATATGTTCAAAATCATTTAAAACTTCACTTGAAAATAACACATCTTTCACTTGCACCTCAGAAATGATATCCTGTCTCAAAGTTAAACAATGGCTTAAGATATCAAACATGTTCTTAGGAAAATGATGAAACCATTTGATGTTACTTCTTTATAACAGAATTTTACCAAACATTTCAAAGTTTTTGTCAAGCAAGACTTTAATCATTTAGTATAGTTTAACATTGAACAGGTAACCTACGTGATGGCATTTTCTGTATGTACAGCACAGATGACTGTGTTCTGTACAGGTGGGAGTTTACACTCAATCATCACTTGTTTATAATCCGCCCTATTCTCATCAGCTTGTCTTTGCTGTATTGGGTCATTCCATTTCTCTTCAACCTAAAATAAACATAGTAAAATGATTAATTCGTCATTCCATTTCTGTTCAGCCTAAAATAACACGATAAAATGATAATTGGGTCATACCATTTCTCTTCAACCTAAAATAAGCATGGAAAAATGATAATTGGATCATTCCATTACTGAACCATATAACATAGTTCATAATATGATAACTAGGTAAACAAATGGGGCATTCCATTTTTCTACAGTAAATATTGGGTTGTTATATGTCTTATATGGCAAGATATTTGACTTTAAAACACATTTAATATAATATTTTATATATTACTAACAAATTTCAGTTATGACGTAACTTATGAGATATAGATATCAACAATTAAGACGTTGATTGATGAGAATATTAAAATTAGAAACAATGTTCTATTAAAAAAATAATTATAATACAACTAAACAGCTTACCCATACAGTTACAGCACCAGGTTTTGAACATTTATGAAGTGGATTAATCAAACTGGTACACTTCAAGGCTATGGTCACCTGGTAAACAGCAATCAAAGTATCCATGTAAATCTTATTCAATGACAATTTATAAGCTCATGAAATGTACACAGATATGAAATAAACATCTTCATATGGTTGATTTAAAAAAACAAAATATAGGTGACACTGTTGAATACTCCAAAACAGTCTGATACAATTAACTATACATTAACTAGGGCCTACGAATACACTACCAAACTATAAAGTAAAGTAAGAAAAGTAATTTAAAGCCTCAGTGACCTTGACCTCATCAACCTTTGACCTCACTAGAGGGGAGATATCCATTAAAAGTACCTACATAGCACTTATCTATCAATCCTTTAATACAGACAATAAGGGGAGCGTCCATGATAATGTTGATAGAACTTTTGGCCCAACCCATTTGTATGTAGATTTAATGATTATGTTTTAAACAGTGAATTTGTATGTTGTGTTTGTTTGGGTTTTACGTCACAACGACACCGTATAGGTCATTTGGCGACTAACCAGCTTTACTGGTGGAGGAAGACCTCAGGTGCCCTTCTGTGCATTATTTCAGGCACAAACGGGCACCAGAGTAGAACCACTGATGTTCCGTAAGCTAGCTTGATAGCTTCCTCACATGAAAGAATTCAAAGTCCCTGTCAGGATTCGAACCCACAGCGGTGAGGGGCAAGTGGTTTGAAGTCCACGACCTTAAGCACTCGGCGACGGACGCCCCTGTATATTGTGTGTATATCACACTAAACACAGTAAGTGCAATAGAAGGAAAGAAGAAAGGACAAACCTAGAAGCTATTATTTCAAAAGCATAAAACTTCTTAACTAAACCACTTAAATTGAGAAAAAAAAGTATTTCCTGTGAAATTCTGAGTATTAAAATATTACCGATTGTCTGACATTTTTGTAGAGTTTAGGAACATAGTCAATGTAGGCATCATCTAGTGACTTGTGGTGTTGTAACCTCATACAAAATTTCCTGAAATATAACAATATGATGTTGATATATTTATTGTAATCACTGTTTTATATGGAAACATTTATGCTATAACAAATACAGGATATATTTACTTTAAGTAATTATATATATCTTTTCAAGTTTTTTTTTATGTATCTAATACAAAACTTCTTAACATATTCCTATCAATTTTTTATCATATTTGTTTCATTATCAAACAGTATTCTGCCATAAAAATCATCATTTTTGAAACTGATAAGAAAGCTGACAAGGTGCCTAGTTTGAAAATTATGTCAAAACATTGTGTTCAGATTTTCTAGTTCAATCATCCTTTAATTTTGGATTATCTACAGCCTTAAACCATTACCCAGCATATTCCTTGAGCAGATTTAAATCTGATTCTAGCAGATGTAAAATGGCTGCTTTGTTCTCCATAATCAATGGGCTTATCTCTGGTACTGGGGCTTTAACAACATGTAGAGGAGGTGGTGGGAGGGGATTATCACATCTTGATAACCGTGATAAAATTCTGTCTTTTGCTGAAAAAAATGACATCCAATATACAGTATTTGAACTGATTGAAAATCTCTTATAATTAACAAATATAAAAGCTTGGAAAAGATACTAATTCTAATTAAATTTAAATGACAATACATGAATTCTACACGGTTTACATTTAAATTGAAATATTTTAACCATTTAACATACCTGATGTCTTCATTTTGGTTTCTTTAGGTTCCTTTGACTTTGGGTTCTGTACTTGTGAGCTGTTTTGTAGCCAGTCTGCTGTCTGAGATTTCAGACTGCTTCTTATTTCTGGTAGATCTATAAAATCCATCCAAGGTGTCTGAATAAAATTTTTAAATAGATGAGGTTAATTCATGTAAATACCGCTAAAATAAACTATAGTCTAATATAGGAGTGTTATATAAAAGGATAAAAAAGTTTGAAGTAGAGAAGAGAAATGTTGCTATTGACAACTGCTACATTTCAAGTACATGTACTTGAGTTTTTTGTTAGGTCTTTGTGTCTTTCTTCTTGTCACTAAGGTCTGTTTCTAATAATAAATGAATGTAACATGCATATAATAAACTGAATTGAATTATCAACATTCACAATGTTTATACATGTAATATATATGAGCCGTTCATGACAAAACCAACATAGTGGGTTTGCGACCAGCATGGATCCAGACCAGCCTGCGTCCACACAGTCTGATCAGGATCCATGTTGTTCGCTATCAGTTTCTCTATTTGTTATAGAGTTTGTAAGCGAACAGCATGGATCCTGATCAGACTGCGCGGATGCGCAGGCTGGTCTGGATCCATACTGGTCGCAAACCACTTTGTTGGTTTTGTCGTGACACGGCTCAATTATATATTTATATATGCAGGAAAGTACCTGATATGTGCTCCCCTCAACAGTCTTTATAACCTTTAGTATACTAAATTTGTATTATAAACATGTCATTGTTTGACATTTGGAACAATTGTTTTGCAGTACATATAGGGAAATTTATTCCTAAATTAATAAATTAAGTGGCAAACAATTCAGAGTATGGTAAGATAGCCCTGAGTGACCTGTCTCTATAGTGGTATATCATTATCAATACTAGCAAAACAGAAAGTTGTTATACTGTATGGTTTTGGAAGATGGCTAGAAGTTTGTCAGCCTGGTATTGTGGTGGTAATGAAGGTAGATACAGGGATCCATCATGTAGTAACGGTTCCTCTACCCACAGTTGTAATGTATTGTACATTCTAGCCAGCTTGTAATACAACTCCTTCCTTGATGACCCGCCACCTTCACTGTCTTCTCCTATAACAAAAATAGCACTCTTACATTAATATGACTGACCATTAACCGTTATAATACTCTCAAAACTAGTAAATGTATATACCTCATACAAATCAATGTATTTGCCTACAAGTATGTGTATACCTTAGAGTACAACTTGCATTAAGAGCCTTAAAGGGACTCCACTGAGGTGTTTTACATGACAGGACAGGATATAATTTTTCAGGATTCATGCTGCAATTTTGATGTAGGTTTAGACCAATATCTTGTGTCAATCGCCCTCTCCTTATTTTAA